CAACATATGGAAGCAACCTAAATGTCCATCAGTACGTGAATGGATAAAGAAGATGTGGTACATATACACAATGGAATATTACTCAGCCGTAAGAAAAAAACAGATCCTACCATTTGCAACAACATGGATGGAGCTAGAGGGTATTATGCTCAGTGAAATAAGCCAGGTGGAGAAAGACAAGTACCAAATGATTTCACTCATATGTGGAGTATAAGAACAAAGGAAAACTGGAGGAACAAAACAGCAGCAGAATCACAAAACCCAAGAATGGGCTAATAGTTACCAAAGGGAAAGGGACTGGGGAGGATGGGTGGGAAGGGAGGGAGAAGGGCGGGGAAAAAGAAAGGCGGCATTACGATTAGCATGTATAGTGTGTGGGGGGCACGGGGAGGGCTGTACAACACAGAGAAGACAAGTAGCGATTTTACAGCATCTTACTACGCTGATGAACAGTGACTGTGAAGAGGTATGTGGGGGGCACTTGGTGAAGGGGGGAGCCTAGTAAACACAATGTTCTTCATGTAATTGTAGATTAATGACACCAAAAAAAAAAAAATTGACCAGTGAAACCAAAAAAAAAAAAACCTTTCAAAAATTATTCAACTTCATTTTTATAGAAATAATCCTTTTTATACAAATTTCAGTGTTTTATATACAATCTAATGAAATTATATAACTACAAAAAATAAAGTGGATATAAAGAGATCTTGACTGATTCTTAGTAAAAGTCTGAGGAAGAAAAAGGTAACCCTTAATGTCTGGAAATTGTTTCACACTTAGAGCTAGCCAGGCTTTAGTGATGTCTGAAGCTGGCATGGGACATACAGCTAGGCCATGCTAGTCTCCTACAGGACAAAAACAATCTCACAAATCAACATCAGACAAGGTCACTCTCAAACAATGAAAACAAACAGTTCAAAATTTTGTCTGAGCATGGACATAGTAACACTGTGCAATCTACAAAATACCAAACATCCCCCTCTCCTGGCTAATATGAGTGACTGCCGCTTCTCTTGCAGGTACAGCTTTAGACTCTCTAGTTAGCCCTCCTCCTAGATAAGATTAAGATACACAAAGAATCACCTTATGTCCTAACAATATCCAATTCAGAGCAAGACCCCTCTTCCTTAAACCCTTCCCCAAATAGCCTAATACAAACTCAAATCCTACAATAAGTCTTTTCGAACACTTACTGAGACACTCCGCTGTTTCCCATAGTGTGCATTCTCCCTCTCTATGATGAGTAATAATAAACCCAACTTCTCAACTACAGCTGTGTTCCTAGTGGTCTATGGCTAAAGGGCATTGATGAGGCCCAGTCAACTGACTAAAGCAGAGTGTGGGACCATACCACAGAAAAGGAAACCAGTAGCAGCATCACTCAGTACATTTACAAACACAATACTAGAGCATCAGTTAGTCTCGAGGTGGTTAAGCAAGTTTCCACCACATTTCCCTAGGTTCAGTTTCTAGAAGTAGAATTGCTGGGTCAAAGCATAAACATTTTTAAGATTCTTGATCTTTAGGATCTTGACTGTAGATATAATACACCAAGAATATTTAAATACAACTTATTCCACACTTGATGTAGACTTCATTTTACTAGCTCAAACACAACTTAAATTCCGGGAGTCCTATTCCACTTGTAACAATATCTTAAATAAGAATACATATTTATACAAATATACCTAACTGCAGGCAATTGAAACTTTAGAAGTATACAAAGCCAAGTATAAAAGCAATACACTGTATCTTTTTCTTCCTTCTTCTGTATTATGTAATTTTTTTCTGATTAGAAAAAAAATGTATTTTAAAACATAAAATGTTATAGGTTCAGTATAGGTCATCAATTCTAACAAATGTATCACTGATGGGATCTGCTGATAAAGGGAGAGGCTGTGCATGGGTGGTGGCAGTAAGTATATGGAAAATCTATGCCCTCTACTCAATTTTGCTATGAACCTAAAACTGCTCTAAAAATAGTCTATTAAAAAATCATATGACACTTTTAAACTATAACATCTTAATTTATCACTGAACACTTTCACTTATAATAAAGGCTACAGTGACCACTTTCAAACACTTTCTTTACTGTGAATTTTGAAAATCAAAAAATTTTTAATTGTGGTAAAATCCATATACTATAAAATTAACCATCTCAACCACTTTTAAGTGTCCAGTTCAATATCATTAAGTATATTCATTGTTGTGCAACCAATCTCCAGAACTTCTTCATCTTGCAACACTAAAACTACCCAGAATGCAAGAACTTCCCATTTCCTCCTGTCCAACCTACTGCAAGAATTTTATTCTACTTTCTGTTTTTATGAACTTGAATACCCTAGATTTACCTAGATGTAAACATAATCACACAGCATTTGTCTTTTTGTAACTGGCTTATTTCACTTAGTGTAATATGTTCAAGATTCATCAGTGTTGTAACATGTGTCAGAAGTTCCCTCTTTTTAAAGCTGAGTAATATTCCATTTCATGGATATGTAACTTTTTGTTTATCCATTCATCCAACACTTGTGTTGCTTCCACCTTCTGGCTATAATGAAGAATGCCATTACAAA